ATATTGAATATGTTCGACAAGTTATCGAAGATGATCCCTACTCAACTTATGAAGATATTATTGTTAAGACTGATCTATCGCGTGGTACAATAGAATGAATTATCCATGATCATCTAAAGATGAGAAAGGTGTGTCTCGTTGGGTTGCTCATCAACTTACTGACGAACAAAAACAAGAAAGAGTTCGAATTTGCCGTCAAAATTTAGAGAAATTTAGGAACGGAACATGGCGATTATGTGATATTAGCACTGGTGATGAGACGTGGATTTATCACAGACAGATTGGTCGAAAGTCAAGCAAGTCTACCTGGGTTGGTGAAAATGAACCACCAAGGACTATTGTTCGTCGGAATAGATATGAACCTAAAACATTGTTTTGCTTCTTCTTTAAATCCACTGGCCCTGTTCTTATACACAAAGTAGATAAAGGCAAGACCATCGATCATAACTACTATATCGATAACTGCCTTATACCTGTTATCAATGAAATAAGAAAAAAGGAAAAGTCATCACGCACAAAATATAAAATGCTTCACGATAATGGTCCTTCTCATGCTCATCGAGATGTTGTTGAGTATTTAACAGAGGAAGGTATCGAAATCATTCCACATTCACCATATTCACCAGATCTTGCACCGTGTGACTTTTGGCTAAATGATTATATCAAGAACAAGTTGGTTGATCACACAAATGAAGAATCGCTAGCTCAGGAGGTTTCCACTATAGTGAAGAATATTCAAACAAACGAGTTTAAAAAGACTTTCGATAAACTGTTAGAGAGGATGGAACTTTGTATCGAAAATAATGGTGATTATTTTGAGCATTTAATAAAATAAAACTGCGAATATCTCTTACTTTTTGTATTCTGGTTTTATATTTTCAGGATCTTTTCTTGGCTATAAGTACTATATCTTTATTCTAGCAGGATGTTAGAACTTAATCCAAGACAGAGCTTCTCTATAGATTATTAAAGACGAGACGTTATACTATGTATTCCCATAATAAAATATTCAATATTTACTGTTTTATAAAATTTTAAATGTCGGGCCACGAACTTTTGGTATACCCTAAGTAAACACAAAAACATACCATATATTTATATGTTGATTAGTTAAGTAATGATTAAGAAAAACAAACTTACCGAAATTTAAAATTGTCTTTTGTAACAACACCAATTTCGATTTCACTTGGTTTTAAATCAGTTGAAAGAACATTTGCTAATGTTGATATGGCTAACTAAAAAAAGAACAAAATTTTGCTTGATTTTTTAAAAATTCTAATCAAATATGTTTATTTACTTCAATAGCTTCATCATAGGTTAAATCAGATTTTTTCTTAATACGTTTTTCTAAGAAATTATTTGCTTCAATTTGTTTTACACCAGCACTAGTTGCACGAAATCCACAAAAATAACCAGCTGGATCAGTTTTGTATAACATTGGACCTTTTTCTTCATCCATGCCAAATAATATCATAGCTTCAAAATTATATTTAAATAATATCAAAATAAGAAACAACAAATTTTTATCATTATAATCAACTTACAACATCCAAGTGGTCTCATTTCAGCTTCTTGAGTATATACTTGTGAAATATCAGCAATACGACGACATATAGCATCAACTGGAATATTATAACCATGCTTATATTTCCATGATGCTGCTTCATATCGAGCTCCTTGAACTTGCCATCGAGAATCGGCTATATTTTTTTATTTCAATAATAATTAGATAAAATATAAATAGATCAATACATACCAACCATGCCTGTCATTAAACATCCAACTGTTGGTGTTATTGCATATAAATGACTAACTGATGATGGATCAAGTAATTTATCCTTAACAAAGAAAGAAACAAGAATATGTCATATGCAAAAATTTAATATTATCATTTAGCTATCACAGAAAATTCATGAAAATTTTGATTTTGGAGTGTTCTATGAGATTATACAATTTCAAATTAACATCAACTGTCATTTAATACGTATTCACAAGATTCTGAATGTAAACTTTAATAACATTAGTCATGAAAATGATTTTGAACAAATCACTAACGACTATTTATCCTGCGTCATCTGTATGATAGCATACTAATTATTTTGTGACATATATCTACTCATATGTTTAGTTAATGTGTATATGAAACGCAAAAACTTAGTATCGAGCTGATCTTCTATTTAGAGCTACAGTTAGTCATAATCCAAAAGTGCATAAATACAGATTTCAATGCCTAGTATAACTGCATGGTATCAAAGAAATATCATCATTACAAAATCTTGGTTCGATTGTTAGAATATCACGTAAAAAGTTTTCCTTCTCTTATTTGAAAAATTTATTATATTCAACTTACAAAGGACGAGGGCGGATAAGGCCGTTTTTCTGCCCCCAAAATATTTCAGTTTTTTATATTAAAATCAAGTCAGCAACCACTTCTGA